TATTTATCCCTCATTAGATGTGTTTCCTTGGGTGAGTTATTTAACCTGTCTCAGTTTCCACATCTGTAAAATGGAGATACTAGTACATATCTCAGTTTTGTTATAGAGATTAAACTGCTTAGAAAAGTGCCAGGCACTTAGTGGTATTCAAGTATCTATTAAATACTTTTATTGGAGATAGAGGACAGACTTTTTGTTTTTTTGTTTTCTTTAAGAGATTTAAATAGTTTCCCATAGCCAACATCCTAGCTTCCCAGAATGTCAGACAAGTGTTTTCTTTTTCTCCCTAAAGAAGCAGCAGATGCCTTCTCCTCCTGGCAGAAGGAAGTACTTGCCCCTCCTGGCATCTCCCTCCTCCCACTCTTTCTCCCACCTTTCTTTCTGCCTGAGTGCCTTAGAGGGACCCTGGTCAACCTTCTCTGTTGTCTTCTCGGTTCCATCAAGAGTCACAGACCAAAGGTTTCACCATCATCGCTTTAAAAATAGTGTAGGTTACTTTTTTCCATAGTGGAATTCAGCTAATTGAAACATAAGATAGGCATGAACACTCTGGAGAGGTGGCTTTGAATCTTTCCATTTGTTGTCTTTGGCATTGACTTCTGCTTATCCAGATTCTGCTGGTGTGGTGGATCTACCCTTAGGCAGATATGAGCTCTGAGCCCCAGGAGTCAGCATCTGTGCATAGCCAGTAATTGGGTGTTTTCTCTCCCGGAGACCTTGATGATGAAATTCATATTTTATCCCAAAGTGTGACCATTACAGAGGGTCTGGAATGCCAGTTCCTGTCTGTAGTTTGGCCTTCCGTGTATCCCAGACTAAAGTCTTTCTTAAAATGTATTAGCTCTTCACATCTTTTTGTTCCTTACTGTGGCCAGTTTTAAGCCTTTCTTTCCGTTTATTTTTCTTATTTAGCCCAGCCCCACTGAAGTTTCTTCAGTACCTCAATCATTTGCTCTACAGCCTCCGATCTGGCCAGCATGTAACCTTCGGTTGTATTTAAAGCCCCTTTTGTGACTTTGACCTATTGTGTCTGTTGTGTATGGAAAAGTAGTAGAATCGGTATAAAGACAAGAGTAACATCTCTTAAAACAGGCAGCCAGCACATGAACTCCCCTTCTGCACTGGCCAGAATTTCCATCCTCTCTGTTGGTGGAAAAGGTATTGCTGCTCTTTAAGCCACCATAAAAGTCAAGCTGGTTTTAAATATTTTGGAAAAAGAGGTACATGTTAGGAAGTCCTGAATGATGGTGAGCCAGCCTAACCGATCCCACTGGCTAAAGCCTGCTTCTAGTTTGCATGGCATAGCCTTAGACAAGCGTCTGCATCACAGGCCTGGGTCCCCCAGATGCATTCGCTGCTTACTTTAGGTAGCTCTTACTGGGAAAGACTGGCACTGGGGCTTGCTCCCTGCCAGCACTCCTGCCCCTGTGGGGATTATGGAGGAGGGACAGGACTCCCCCTCCCTGCTCTCTTTCTGGAGGCCTGGGCAGGAACAGCACCTGACAAGTAGATAGCATGTTGTTAGCATGGTGTACAGAGGCCTAAGAGGCCTCCATAAACCCAAATTTATAACAGTCCTCAATGGAATGCCTTGTACCAAAAGAAGTCCTTAACCCTGAATTATCTGAGCTCCCTTAGTATAAAAATCGAAACCTGCTCTCCTAACATCTAAACAGTTGGGAGAGTGAGTTTCTTTTGGAAAGCCAAGTTGGTAGTTTCATCTCATTCTGGTCTTTCTGATTAATTATGACCTACAAAGGGGTTACTACTCTAACAGGAACTTTGAATTTCCTGAATAGATTTCCCTCTGGCTAGCAAGCAGGCAGAGGAAGTATCTTTGACTTTTTTTTTTTTTTCCAGTTTCCTAGGGTGGCCTGGGTACTGTCTCACTGCCTTGTCGTTTGTCGACTTCTTTTCCCTGACTGATCTCTGTTTGGTGTGATGGCAAATAGCAAAGCTGAGCGCCGGAGGGTATACGTACATTTACAGGCCCCGTGCTGTGATTGCCAAAAGGCCAGAAAGCCAGTTCTGTAGTGAAGCAGACTAATGTTCTAAGAATTGCTTTCATTGAGAAAGAAGGGGGGAAAGTGGAACCTAAAGGAAGATAGAGTGTTTCTAAACTTAGATTCCCGAATCACCCATTTATAGTTTTGTGGGAAGACAGAATGAGGAGCAGCCAGCTATCCCAAAAGGTTTTAACATTTCAGAAATCCAAGATCTCTGTTCCAGAAAGTTTCTGCTTGATGGTAAAATAAAGTTTTGACCTTAATATCAAATCTCAGACTGGCTCTGCGTTTGTCTCTAATGCCACTCTACCTTAAGTGGTAGGTATTGATTTCATGGAAATGTAATGTATTGATTTAGTGGGAGGTGCTCTGACTTGGAGGTGGAAATGCTGAGTTTAACTCTTCACTTCACTTCTTTCTAACATGTAACTTTGAATGAGACTGAACCACTGGCTCTTCTGTTTCTAAATCAGTCTAAAGGGATAATAAAACCTACCTCACCAGAAATGTTGTGAGGATTGAATGAAATAATGTATGTGGAAACACCATGCACAGTGCCTGCTTGCAAATTAGGGTTTTTGTTCTTTACTTACTTTGGGGGAAAAGGTATATTTATCCGTCAATATTATGGCTGTAGTTGCTCCCAATTTTTTGCTTTTAAGCAAAACTTGCATAGATGACCATTAATTTCTCTCATAGTTAATGTTTGAGAGAAAAAAAAAACTAAAACTACAATGCTTGTATAATGAATAGTGATATTACCATATATTTTGCTGGTAATGTCGAAATCATGTGCCTGTGATCTCATATGTATAAACTCCTGAAGGATCAGTTGCAATCTCAGCAACTTTGTTATTTCACCCATCATTCTACGAGTAAAGCTGGAGTGTTAATGCAATTGGGAGCCATTTTTGTACCAAGTAAAGAATTAAAAAAAAAAAGAAATAAAAGAATGTTTTTGATAAAACATTGTATTTTGGTAAAAACAGATTACGAGAGCACATTGAGTAGAGTGACATCATAACGATGCTGAGAATAAAAAAGCATAGTAATAAAACTTGGTCACCATGTGCCTCCAAGCATACTGAACTAGGCTCAGCCCGCATGAGTTAAAAAGAAAAGTTTGCTCATGTAGAAACTTGTTGTTTCAATGTGTGGCGCACATCTAAATAACCTGATGAGCGCAGCATAGAGGGAGGAATATATAAACAAGGGAAAGCGAACCCCCACTCCCCCAGTCTGTGGCAGTTCCTGGATCTTCCCTAATCTGCAGCCCTGCTTCTGCTAGCTTCCTCCCACCTCCACCCCCCGCCTTCCTGGCTAGATTTCATAGACTGTCTGCTTATTTATTAGCCAAACTTCCATCTTGAGTTGGAGCTCCCTTTGTGTACAGAGATGCATGTGACAACAGATGCTCTCTTGATCCAAGTTCTGTGGCTCTTACCTAATTGGTTGCCATTCTTTGTTTCCCCCTTTTTGGCCTTCGATGTAGCCAAGTATTGTGGCCAGATCTCTTTAGGACGAACTTCATGGGATGGATGTAGCCTAATGAGCTCATTGCTAGTAAAATCTATTTTTTCTGGGCTGAAGGTGTTAAATGTGACAGATGGGAAATACAGTCTATGGTGGGAAAGGCAATAGCCGGTGCAGCCTGTAGGCCTGACTGTTCCTGTCAGCTGTTCCGCATCTGGGGTGAACCCCTGATTCATAGCACTGGATTTCCAGCTCCCTTTTGCCAACTTGTGGAATGTATTGGTTAGTAATGGTTTGTATTGGTTAGTGAGCAAGGTTCCTAAACCGTCCGGCCAGGACACGGAAGAAGACAAGCGTGTGATTTTTGCTCATTCCCCTTGAGTGTGTGTCCACATGCACGTTTTTATATAGCTACAGTCATTTCAAACACCTGTGCGTTGTTCGGCAACATTTTATATAAGGGGCTTGAGCACCTGCAGATTTGGTATCTGCGCCAGGAGGGGGTGGTTTGACCTGAAACCAGTCCCTCAGATACCAAGGGAACACTATATTCCTTTTTCCATTTGTGTCATAAACGTTTTCCATGTATATTTGTAGGACTCAAATTATAGCATATTAGCTACCTAATTTGATATATTACAGTTTCTCTTATTACTCACTAAGATTACATCTAGTTTCTTGGTGGTAGTTTGTTCATTTTTGTTTGCTTCTTGCTATGGGAAGCATAAAAATGAACATCTTTATGTAATGCTATTTCCCAAAGAAATTTCTATGAGCTGGATCTCAGGGTATGAACGTTTTAATGGCCCTTGGCTTTGTAATGTCATATTTTGGTTTCCAGGGGGGCAGTGCCTTTTTTAATACTTGCAGTATGTCCACAAACCCCTTTAATAGCAAGACTTTTAAACATTTAGCACAGGACATGCCTTTGCTTTTAGAGAGGTCTTTTCTTACTGTGAGAAAAGGACCAAGCAGGATTTATAAGCCTAATTTACAAGTAACTAACTTTTTTTAGTTAAAGCTAGCAGGAAGCATGCACCGTGTTGGGGTGTTCGATGCACAAGAGCCCTGGCTTGGCTACATGTGTGATATGTCTCAAGTCTGGCACAGAGCCACCAAATTACGTTTTCGGTGATTTTTTTTTTAACCCCTTCACATCAGATGTGAATGCTCAAGTTGGAGCTTTCATTATAGTTTTTTGCTGGTAGAATGTTGTAGAAATATAGTGGGGTTTGCTTTGTATTCTTAGTTACTTTAAAAAAATGTCCTGGTTTGTTTAGAATGACTATGTTTCTCTGTTTGGTTCCTTTGCTCCTTCGAAAAATAAAAAAATCCAACAAGGTGAACAAAGTCTGTTGTAGCCAAAAGCCTCTACTTGAACCTTCTGTCAGGACTGTTTATATAAAGCATTGTAAGTTTCCATGGTTCGTGTTATCTCCGGGTATCTTGTGAGTTGATCTTGTGAAATGAACCCTTATGGTCCCTACTCTAGGCTAACGCTTTGTGTCTTGTTTTTCACAGTGAACATAAAGATTCTGAAAAGAAACACAAAGAAAAGGAGAAAACCAAACACAAAGATGGAAGTTCAGAAAAACATAAAGATAAACATAAAGACAGAGACAAGGAAAAACGAAAGGAAGAGAAGGTACAGCACTTTCTGGTGAATGGAAAGATGTGGAATGCACTTTTCATTTTGTTTACCTTTTAAAGCAAGTAATGAAAGCACCTTCATTGCATAGTGAGATCCCCTGGTCTTGGATGAAAAGGTCTCTGTCAGGAGACTTTAGAGCCAGCCAGTCTTAAATTATGAAAACCAAAGCTCTTTACACACTGACTGTATTTATAGTACAAAATCTGTCCATATCATTATCCTACTTTATATGGAAAATGGATAAATTGAGGACGTAGGGTTCCAGAAATGTCAGTTTTCTTTAATGGGGAAAAGGAATTATTTTGGGTGGAGAAGGCCTAATGCTGTGCTGGTCCTCTGTTGAATGAAGGTTCTTCTTGAGTGAAAATTTGGTGATGCTGGTCCCTTTTCTGGATTTTGATTCCAGCATAACCAGTACAAGCCTTCTCAGAATGGCTCAGCTCACCTGGCTGTGAACGAGTAGTGCTGTGCACAGACTTTTTAAAAATTGCTTTTTTTGTAGTTTTTGAAAAACTAACATTGATACTTGGTAAATTCAGACAATAAAAAATAGAAAATACAGTGAAAAAAATACTTCTCCCCATTATCCCCGACTCACTGGCCTCCATCTTTCCCTTTTAGAGGTAGCTTTATACACTATTTTTTGTATTGTACTCTGTGTGTGTATCCCTTTGTGTATATGCGTGAAGATTTTTGAAAGACCTAGAGTGTCTGACAAATCTAGAAAATGGGAAGTTGAAGGAGGGGAATGTGAATATACTTTGCCTAAATGAGAAAAGACAATAACTTTTACTTTCTATTCCCTCTCTGCACTGCCAAGGGCAAATCCTTAAGCGGTGGAGTGTATTTACTGTGGGAGGGAGGCCCTACCATAATTTAATGGCAAAAAGCTGTTATTTTGAAGGGAGACGTTTCTCAGTGAATTGGACAAGTCATCCTCAAGAATTCTAAAAAATGAGTCTTAAAGGAATATGAAGACCTTCAGCTCACCTGTTCAACAAGAAGAGTCAGTCTGTGATCAAGGTGCCCCAAGAGTTGAGACCAAATATTCTCAAATAAGAGAGGCTTCTTCAATAGTCATTTCCAGGCACTAACCA